CCTTCGGGCACGACACTGATGTATTTGTTGTGCCGAGCCCTTTGGACACGACACTGGTAGGAGAACATCAAACGACAAATCGGACAGTTTGGAAGGCTTTTTGCATAAAAATCAGTATTTTGTGGAGCTTTCCGGTACGAAACTGATTTTTTCTGCTAAAAACCTCACAAACTGAGCGATTTGTCGGTTATTGTTTTCCTACCATTTTCAACAAAGACATTACTCTAACTGGAGCCAAAGTTGTGCCGAATTCTCAAACTACAAATAAGGCGCTTTAGAAGGTTTTTTGTCTTACCAGCAGTGTCGGACCTGAAGATATCAGAACAACAAAGACGTTAGACTTTAACCGGTGCCAAAGTTGTGCCGAGCTCTCCGAGCACGACACTGGTAGGAGAACAACAGCCGACAAATCGAACAGTTTGGAATGTTTTTGGCCGAGCTTTTCGGCGACAGAAAAACGAAACTGATTTTTTTTGCAAAAAACATCACAAACTGTCCGATTTGTCGGTTGTTGTTTTCCTGCCAGGGTCGTTCCCGAAGGGCTCGGCACAACTTTGACATTGATTAAAGTTTATTGCGTTTGTGCTGAGCCCATCGGACACGACTGGTAGGAAAACAACAATCGGCAAATTGGAGAGTTTGAAAGGTTTCTTGCATACAAATCAGTATTTTGCGGAGCTTTTCGGGCACAACACTGATTTTTTTGCACAGAAACGTCCGAAACTGTCCGACTTGTCGGTTGTTGTTTTCTTACCAGCGTAGTGCCCAAAGGGCTCGGCACAACAAAAACATTAGACTTTAACTGGAGCCAATGTTGTGCTGAACTCTCAAACTAGAAACAAGGCGCTTTAGAAGTTGTTTTGTATAAAGATCAGTATTTTACTGAGATATTCGGACACGACACTGATTTTTTACGAAAAAAATCTTCCAAATCGTTCGATTAGTCCGTTGTTGTTCTCCTACTAGTGTCGTGCCCGAAGGACTACGCACAACATTAGACAAAGACATTAGACTTTAACCGGTGCCAAAGTTGTGCCGAGCTCTTCGAGCGCGACACTGGTAGAAGAACAACAACCGATGAATCGAACAGTTTGAAAGGTTTTTTGCTTAAAAATCAGTATTTTGCCGACCTTTTCGGTCAAAAATCCTTCCAAACTGTGCGATTTATCGGTTGTTGTTTTCCTACAGTGTCGTACCCGAAGGGCTCGCCTTAACTTCGCTATCAATTAAAGTCTAATGTGTTTGTTGTGCCGAGACCTTCGGGCACGACACTGGTAGGAGAACAACAACCGACAATTCGAACGATTTGTGCAAAAACATTCAAGAGAGCTTTTTCGTTTAGATATGAACAAGTAATGAAACAGCAAAATTATTTAAGTTGTAGATAAGTTCTATATTGTTGAGGCGGATTCATTTTTTACAAACTTCTTTTTAGGTATTTCGCCTCAAAAATTTTTGTCTTTAAAAAAGACAGAATTTCCTCACGTCTTTTATTACAGATTGATAAA